AATGTGCGAAAAGTACTAAAGGCCCTACATTTGGTACCATTTCGTATCATGAGAGCGGTTAGAGCTAAAATATGAAATTTAGAATGGAAAACAACGTTTAGGAGTAGAGTCGATGTCGGGGAAGAAGTTTTGGAAGTGTGTACTCATGTATACGAAAAGTACTAAGCGGTATAAAATTTGGTACAATTCGAATTCGGGGGAATGGATGGATCTAGAATCCCGAAATTTGAAATTAATATTACCGGCGGAGTGTAGGATTTAAATACCTCCACATACCATCGAAATTTGTACTTATGTTCACGAAAATTACTAAATATAGTACAATTTCTATTTGGGGTAACCGGTAGGTATGATTTGCTGAAATTTGGAAATAAGATTACTATTGCATTGGAGGATTGAGGGTATTGAAATTTTTTTAAATATTTAGAACAAATTTGCACTAAATTTTACTAAAATTTTAATTTTGGGAGAACTCGTAGAGTTGGGATCCCAAAATTTGTAAACTGGATTGCTATTACATTGTGTAATTAATATGTGGAAATTCGTACTTATTGGAACTTGAAATGAGATTTTGAAATCGGGAATGGGGTTAATTTAAGGAAAATGTTTGGAAATGTATACTAAGAGTTAGAATTGTATTAAATAGTTCTAAATTGGGTACAAAACAGTTTTTGGGTGAACGGATGAGGCTGGTAATTTGAAATGTTGATATTAGGGTCACTGCTGGTGGTTAGGGTGAAGATAAAGAGTTGGGGATGAAAATTTCCTTAGCAAGCATATGAAAGGCACTAAACTGTTCTGATGTTACTTTAAATCTATCTGCTGGAGAAAGGGTATGTGTGTTATGTCTGGATGAAATGTTGCTTATAAAGTAACTAATGAAGTTGCTCAGTTGCTTATAAAGTAACTAATGAACATTTGACTGAAAATGGAATGGTTTTTATACCCTCCACCAAAAAAGGTATGGAGGGTATATTAAGTTCGTCATTCCGTTTGTAACTCATCGAAATAAAGTATATATATTCTTGATCAGCGTAAAATTCTAAGACGATTTAGCCCTGTCCGTCCGTCTGTCCGTCTGTTGTAATCACGCTACAGTCTAAACGAATTAAGATAGGAAGCTAAAATTTTGCACAGATCTCTCTTTTGTCTGCAGGCAGGTCAAGTTCGAAGATGGGCTATATCGGTCCACGATATCGTATAGCCCCAATATAACGGTACCCCCCGATATTCGGTATTTTGATGATTTTACCCACATTTTTCAACGGAATTGTCTGAAAATCCACACAAGGAGTTCCTTGTGGGTACTTTATACCTCGGCAGAGAATTGTCCATATAGGTCCACGATATCGTACAGCCCCCATGTAGCGGTACCCCCCGATATTCGTTATTTTGATGATTTTACCCACATTTTTCAACGGAATTGTCTGAAAATCCACACACGGAGTTCCTTGCGGGCACTTTATACCTCGGCAGCGAATTGTCCATATAGGTCCACACTATCGTATAGCCACCATATAACGGTACCCCCTGATATTCGGTATTTTGATGATTTTATCCACATTTTTGAACGGAATAACGGGACCCGCCGATATTCGGTATTTTGAAGATTTTACCCACATTTTTCATCGGAATTGTCTGAAAATCCACACAAGGAGTGGGTACTTTATACCTCGGCAGAGAATTATCTATATAGATCCACGATATTGTATAGCCCTCATATAACGGTACCCCCGATATTCGGTATTTTGATGTTTTTAGCCATATTTTTCAACGGAATGGTCACAAGGGGTTCTTTGTGAGCACTTTACCCACCGACAGAGAATTCTCTATATAGGTTAACGATAACGTATAGCTCCCATATAACGGTACCCCGCGATATTCGGTATTTTGATGATTTTAGCCACATTTTCCAATCGTATTGTCTGAAAATCCACACACGGAGTTCCTTGTGAGTACTTTACACGCAGACATAGATTTGTCTTTATAGGTCCACAATATCGTATATCCCCCAATATATCGATACCTTCCTATATTAGATATTTTAAAGATTTTTAAAGAATTTTTATTGGATTTTATTTTTTTGAAAATTTTCTAATTCGTTCCAAATGGTGGAGGGTATTCAAAGTTCGGCCCGTCCGAACTTACTGCTTTTTTACTTGTTTTTATGTAATTTCACCATACAATAGAGTATATGTTTAAATATATTCTAAAAGTAGTTAAATATGGAGTGGAAAAAGTAAAGAGCCTCAAGATGTAAATTTTCCCTTTGTATTTTCCGAAAAATAACACCATAGTAAATTAATTTTTATATCCCAGTCCTACTGCTAGTATCCCTACAAGTGCTAGAAATTATAATAATAAAATAGTGTTGTGCCAATGTAGTTTCTGTTCAGTACACCAGTTTTTGAACGTATGAGTGACTCCATATGTATCACTCATACGAGTTTTCATACAAACGGTCGGAATTCGCGGAACTAGGTCGGCACAACATAAAATTAAATACTTCCCTCGTCACAAAAATGATACATTCTAAGTCGCTAGCTTGCACATTTGAATTCGTCATTTCATTACCAATTAATATGAAGGAAGACAAACGGTAAAATTAGGGCTTCAACCATTTTCACATAGTAAGGCGATAAAATCTAAGATGTTATGCTTATGTGGTACATTATGCTCATTCTACGGCTAAATTTATTTAACTGGTAAATGACTGGTTTGATGTCTTTAACTCAAATATAAGTACTTTTAAATATCCTGGAAAAGTAAATATTTTCAAAAATTATAACCACAATTGGCAACATAGTATAGACATTTATAGGAACCATTTGGAATATCGTATGAAAAGAAAATGGAAATCATCGAGGAAGCCCCAAAAGAAATAAATTAAATACCATATGAAGAAATATATATTGGTTTGTTTGTTATTACCTTGACTTTATACATGTGTTATTTATTGTTATTTAATTTACTCTTAGCTTTTTTATTGTCACTTCCTTTTGCAGCTCGAAACACAGAATTGGAAATGAACAAACTGACTCAACACAGTGGAATATATCAAGTAAAATTCCTAGTACCTTACAAATGAACCCACTTGTATATCAATAAATGTAAAAAGAACTTTTAAATTCAAGAATTAGAAAATTACGATTTTCAAGTTACAGAAAGCTACTATTCTAAATATAAAGATAATGCCGAATTCCAATTAATAGAAACTGAATGTTTTCAAGATTTAAGTACTCTTAAAGACGATGCACTGAAATAAATAGTATGATATATTATTCAGAAGATCAATATTGATGAGTAATTAGGTCTTGAAAATCTTTCACCTGGGTTGATCAGATTTCCAAAGGGTTACTTAAGAAACACCAAAAGACTTTCTCATGAGAATAAAGCACCTATAGTTAATTTTTGGGAATGTAAAGTAAAATTGAACATCAGAAACAGATGGATGACCAAAATGAGTAGATCTTCCAAAAAATTGTAAGTCATTATTTTTTCGAAGTCGCATATATTTTCGAACTAAAAATGTTAATACCAATTTACCAATATCTGAATTTTTGGTATTTCCCACACTTGCTTTCGAATGTTAAAACATTAAGATCGACCGGACCACCTTAGGGTAAAGGAAACATTTTTAAAAACAGTGTTGGCTTGTTTGTTCGGGATAAGTATATGTGAGGTCTTCCTTCTGGCTCAGGTAAGATAAGATAAGATAAGGTAAATAAGAAAAAAAAGGGGGGGGGGGGGGGTAAACATCAATGGACACCTGTGTAAATAAGATAAGGGGAGGGGTGGGGGTAAACATCAACGGGTACCTTTGTAAATGAGATAAGGGGAGGGGGATTAGCGGTAATAAGTTATGACAAGTTCGGATCGATCTAGTGAGGGAAGGGGATTAGGGGGCAATAAATTAATATTCTTGTGTACGAGTTGTGTGTAGTAAGAAAACAAATCCTAGTTGTTTATGTTGTTACTAAATAGACATAGATCAATCCAACATACATTTGTGAGTTACGGTAAAAAATGTCGTGGGGTTAGATAATTTTGTTTAACTTGTGTGTCGAGGTCCAGGTTGACGTGTGTGTTTGTCTTGTGTGTGAGGTTTTTCTTCGCACCTACTGTTTGTTTACGTTGTTGTTAACTAGAAAATTACTAGTGGTTCCTTTAAACAACTGTTTGAGTAGGAAGACTTTTTTATACGTGTGACCAGAAAAAGATTATTTTTCACACGCGTGAGAACTAGAGCCAACCCAAGTGACCATTTTGAGTAAATATTGCTACATAGGAATGTTTACATGTACGAACCTATCTAGGGAAAAAAAACATTCAAGTGTTTTTTTCTAATTTTGTTTGTGTGTTTTTATTGATTGTGGTTAAATGTGCAATATTATTTTCGAATGTTTTTTTTTTTTTTGTTTTAATAGTACAATATCAATAGACCGATCCCGGTCCTGTTGAAAAAGACTTGTATGCTGAAGAAAAGTGGCGCTCTTTTCTGCTGAGATTATTGTTTTTACTTACCTCACAGTTTTTTTTATCAACCCTTTATTTGTTTTTGCTGTTTTAACTAGAAAATTACGAGTGTTTTCTTTTCACACCTGCTTCAACAGGAAGACATTTCAAAGTCATTTTTAAGATGTGAGACCATTTTAAAGATTGAAATATTTCTTTCGTAAATATCATAAATTTTCGTGAAATCATGTTTTTAATAATAGGTATCAAATTATCCATATGTGTATGCTAGTGTGTGCATTATTGTTGTAAACTGAAATTATTTTTTCCTTTATTTATTTTAAATGAAAATCTTCATTTTCTGTTGAGACTTCGACGAAAAACCACGCTCCCTACAATTTTTTTAAATTTGTTCTCTGAATAAAAAAAAATCAAAAATGAATTCGATGGGTTTTAAATGCAATATTTGCGCTGTAGAATTTGTTAACAGCATGGAATATCAAAAGCATTGTGAACTACATAAGTTATGTAATTTATGTAATCAGATGTTCATAAATTCTCAAGCATTAGAATTTCATTATGGAACTCATCACAATCAGCAACAACAATGTCAATATAATTTTGAACAATATCGTCATGCTGGACAATACCATAATCATGGGCAATATAAATTTTCTAGAGAATATAATCAACAACTACAATCATGTCAAAATAATCGCTATCATCCATATCTTTTACATCAACAACGGAAGAAAGAACTTCATAGATCACAGCAGCAACAACTTGATCAACAACAGGAACAACACAGTTTTCATCATCAACAGCAACAATATCAAACATACCAACAACAATACAATATTAATGAACATCAGTCGCAATATCACCATCATCAGCAAATGGAAAATATCGAAGGAAATGAGCAGCAACAATGTAACCAACAACAACAAATGGACAATCACGAAGGAAATGAACAAAATATTCAACAACAGATGTCTGAAAGAAAGAGGCAATCATATGTCTTTATGTATTGCGATTCGTGCAACATAAATGTGCGAAAAAAATCTGTGGTTTAATCACTGTAGAACAAACTCTCACAAAGAAAAAAGTTGTACCGTTATTGATCCTAGAATGGTATTGATAAATAGTGGTTTTCAAAATCGCATTAAAACTTATCAATATAAGTGCGAAGAAACTACAAGAAGAAGTCGTTGGTGAATATGCAAAGATATTTGAGGATGAAATCAAGGTTGTAAGCATGGGGCATATAACCAAAATGAATCAAATAACGCTCTCAGATGATGTTGATGAAATATTCAATACACATGTAGACTCTATAAAGAATAAGATGTCTGAATTTCAAGAAAGGGATTCTGGATGGGCTCTATCTAAAATATTGTGGCTGGAGTTGAACCTAAATAAATCTGCTCCAATTAAAGGATCGCAGTATATTAATACTCCTAAATCGTTGCGACATAAGAAAGCGTGCTGGAACTTAAAAAATAACGATAAATTCTGCTTCAAATGGTGTTTAATTGCTGCAATGGATAGTACTCCGAATAGAAATCCAACAAGGACTTCATCATACACAATTCCGGACATAAAGGCAGAAAAAATCACCCTCCGAAATGGTGTTACTCTCAATTTCGAAGGAATGAATTTTCCAGTTGAGCTGAAAAATATATCAGAGTTTGAAACCAACAATCCAGAGATAAGCATAAATGTATTCGGATACGATAAAGAAGTTGTTGGACCCTTATACCACACAAAAGCGGAAAAGGCGAATCATGTGAATTTAATTTTACTGGCGGAGGCAGATAAGGCCCACTTCATATTAGTAAAGCATGTTTCAAGGTAAATATAATATAAACAATGTATCAATTTGTGTATTTAACATGTTGGTTTCTTTCAGATTGATTAGGAGTCAGCTTACTACTAATAGAAGAAAAATATCAATTTGTAATAGCTGTTTCTACTGCACCCCCAGAGAAGACCTTATGATTATTCACAAAAAGTATTGTAGTCGTGTCGTCACAAAAATGCCCACAGTTGAGGAAAGTATTTTAGAATTTAAGAACTTTAGAAAACAAATGGACGTACCATTTGTAATTTATGCAGATTTTGAATGTGTTTTAGAGACTGTAATAGCAGGTGGGGAAAGAATTAAGAAGCATATTCCATGTGCATATGGATTCAATATTAAATGTTCATTTGATAGTAGTTTAGATGTATATCATCACTATACTGGTGAGGATGCAGCTCAGAAATTTATAGAGCAATTAGATGTTTCCTGTAGAGAAATTTATAATAATTACTTGTCTCTTAATACGCCAATGAAACCGCTATCATCTATCGAGCAAAGTATATTTGACTCAGCACTAAATTGCCATATTTGTGATAAAAATTTATATGATGATAAAGTTCGTGATCATTGTCACGTAACTGGTAAATTTAGAGGGGCAGCTCATAATGTATGCAACATTAATTATACGGTAGCACAATTCATCCCAATATTTTTCCATAATTTTTCAGAATATGATTGCCATTTGTTTGTTAAAGAGCTTTTGACCACTATAGAGGGAAACACCACTATAATTCCTCTAACAAAAGAAAAATATATTTCTTTATCGCATACGGTGAATATGAATCCTTATGATAGACACAAGACGTTTGAATATAGATTTTTGGATTCAATTCGTTTTATGGCTAGTAGTTTAGATGCTTTAGATAGCTACTGTACAGATGGAGATATGTCTATTAGAAAACATTTCACCAATGATAATGAATTCAATCTCATGAGGAAAAAGGGAATATTCTGTTATGAATATTTAAATTCCTTTGAGAAGTTGAACGATACTACCCTTCCTCCAATCGAGTCATTTTATAGTACATTAAATGATAAAAGGTGCTATATAGAAGAATATGAGCATGCTATAAAAGTGTGACAAACATTCAATTGTAAAACTTTACGTGATTACATGGAGTTATATTTAAAGGTTGACGTTCTACTTCTTACTGACGTTTTTGAAAATTTTAGAAAGTCATGTAAAAATGTTCATAAGCTTGATCCTTGTCAGTATTATACAGCACCGGGATTATCATTTGATGCTATGCTCAGGCAAACAAAAGTAGGTCTTGAATTATTAACCGATCTAGACATGTTTCATTTAATTAAGAATGGTATTAGAGGTGGTCTGACACAGTGCTCAAGGAGGTACACTAAAGCGAACAATAAATATATGAAGAATTTTGATCAAAACTCTCCATCAAGTTATTTATTATATATTGATGCGAATAATCTCTACGGTTGGGCTATGAGGCAATATCTCCCTAATGGTAATTTTCAATGGGTCAAAAATGATGATATAATAAGAGATGCTAGACAAATTCAGAACTTTAAAGCAAATTCAAACATTGGTTACATATACGAAGTGGATCTAAGTTATCCAACAACGTTACATGATAAACATAATGATTTGCCTTTCTGTTCTGAAAACAAAAAAGTTGGGGGTTCAAAATATGACAAGCTGATTGCCGATTTTGATCCAAAGAAATCGTATAGCATGCATTACATGACTTTAAAGCAATGCTTAGATATTGATCTGGTTTTGGATAAAGTTCATCGCGTAATTTCCTTTGATCAGTCTCCATGGTTAGCTTCATATATAGATAAAAATACTGAAGAAAGACAAAAAGCGGACAATGATTTCTTAAGGAATTTATTTAAACTTTTCAATAATGCAGTCTTTGGAAAAACAATGGAAAATATAGATAAACGGAAAGATATAAAGTTAGTAAATCATTGGGAAACAACTAACCGAAATAAATTAGGAGCTCAATCTTTGATAGCTAAACCCAACTTCCATAGCGCTACACAATTTTGCGATGATCTTTGGGCAATCCAAATGGAGAGACTCTGTGTAACTTACAACAAACCTATATATTTAGGGTTTTGTATATTGGAGTTAGCAAAATGAAAAATGTATGATTTCCATTACGGTTATATGAAAAATAAATTTGGTGAGCGCGTAATTCTAAATTATATGGATACGGATTCATTCATATATACTATATATACTGAAGATATCTATGAGGATATAAGAGCAGATGTTGATCAATACTTCGATACATCAGCTTACCCTGAGGATAATGTGTATAACATACCCCGACGAAATAAAAAAGTTATAGGTATGATGAAAGACGAGAATTGTGGAAAAATTATGCTTGAATTTGTTGGTTTAGGCTCAAAAATGTACTCGTATACGGTAGATGATGGCGTGGAAGTTAAAAAAGCTAAAGGTGTAAAAAAATGTGTCATTAGGCCATATAACATAGAAGATTATAAGAACACTTTATTTAATGAAGTCATAGTTAGTGATACCATGTATACTTTTAGATCTAAGATGCATGAAATTTATACAAATGAGTTATCTAAAATTGTATTAAGTTTTAAAGATACTAAAAGAATGGTTCGCCAAGATAAGGTGAACACATATGCTTGGGGTCATGTAGCTATTGAGCGTGAAAAAAACTTTACAAATCTATTGAATGAAGCAATTGATATTGATAATTTATTTTTTAGTTAAGATTAATGTATTTCACATATATGTATATGTTTATATCTATATAAAAAAACGAAGAAATAAATAAACAATATAAAAAATATTTTTAAAATGTCTTTTTTTTTTTCTTTATTAAATTATCAATTAATTAATGAAATGAGTATAGAATATTACAACATTTTTCGAACAATTCCATTTAAAGGATTATAGTCGATTAATCGATCATGAAGGATTAAGCAGTAAGCAGCTACACCAGCTGGAATTTGTGAATTAGTTTCAAATTCCACTTGAACATCTATTGGACCGCTTTTGACTACTTCGTTTTGGTGGCTTACATCAATTACAACAATTGGGTTTTCTTTAAACTCTTCCAATGATAATATTGGTTGTGGTTCCCTTAAAAAGTAGTTTTGTTGAAATTTCGCATACATATCGTAAAGTACGGCATATCTGTTTTCATCAAACTTCAGATTTAAATCATCGTACGGATATGCTTCTGAATTCAAATGAACTTTCACGTTTACCAAATTTGAGTGAATAAATTTTCCTTCTTTTTCTAGGGCGAGTAATATAAAGCGTGGACGTTCTCTATTAGTCGACAATTTTACATTCTAATGACATTTAGTTGCACCCTGAAACGTTGGATTAAAATGACAATCCCAACTTCGAAATGCAATAGGAAGAGGTTTTCCATTATTTATTATTCTCATAATCTGCAGCTTTGATGAATCTGCTAAGCGTACATGAGGTATCCTCCATGTTATATTATTTATTTCTACATTTAGCTTCTCGTTCGAATCGGTAGAATAACATGCATTTTGATTACTCGAACTACGCAGCATAATAAGATCATGTTTACTATTTAATATTACTTTATTATAGTCCTCTGCAAACCCCAACAGCATTTTAAGTGGAATACAAAAATTAAACATGTTCCTATTTAAGTCAGCACCATTAGTCCATCCAGCATTCTTCATAATATTACTCTCAACACTTGTAAGAGAAACAAAATTTTTTATAGTGCTCGATGCTCCTAAATAGCGCGTACTATCAATTTCGATACCATTCAATTCATATCGTATTTCATCAAATAAATATGCTACGCAGTTATTACGTAAACGAGCATTAGCCGTTAGTTTTCCATCTGATGATGTTAGTACACCTTCAACGTAGATGTAACTCTCACTTGGCAAGACATATAAATCTCGATTTTGTATTGTAATTCTAATTTCGTCATTATTCTTAAAAGAACGAATGTAGGGTACATAGCTGTGATAATCTTTTTTGATTATGCTGTCATCAGAATACGGTGCGTCTTCAACATTAAGTATTTCAGACATTTTCCTTTAAGTGTAGTTTAACGGATTTCAAAAATTTTTTATTTTCCTCCGTCAGTCCTCGTGTTTTAGGTTTGATAACCTTTATAGGAATGCGAGACTCTTTCTGTGTTTTAATATATTTATTATATATAATCATTTTGATATAGGTCTCAAATGTAGCCGAAGAGTAGTTTCTTCACCGCGAAAATTAATTAGGCGTTGTTCTTGATCAGTAATCCAAATTTTTAGACAACTTATTTCTTTCACATTCACAGGTAAATAAATCAAATTACGAGGTATTTCATCTATTTTATATCCAGGGGAAACATTTATTCCGAATTCATGTAAAGTATGTACAGGTGTATTATTCATATATGCTCCCGTAGTTATATTACACTGGATTTGAATTGCGTTTACTCGCAAAATATTTACTGGGAGTTGTGAGCAATGTCTTCTACCTGGTGGTAAGATACCGCCCTCGAATCCAAATAGTAAGCTTATAGAACGGTGCTGATTAAAATCGATTGAGTCATGGGAGGAAAATATTTCAAGCTGTAGTGTGTTGTTATTAGCTACAATTTCAATGGATTTTGTATTGTTTTCGTTTTTATATGATGTTTTAATATAGTCAGCTATATCCTCAAGTTCATATGAACCAATAGGAATCTCTATTATTTGTCCTCCAATATGAAATAGATTATTATCATAATCAACATTAGGTATAGAATTATATGAATGAAAATCAATTAAGGCACACTCATAATCTCCTATCACCTGAATTGGCGGAAAATAATCTGCCGTTAAAACGGATGATTTCCCCGTTAGAGCCAATGTTATTGACATTATGAGTGTTTGTTTATAAATGAAAACACACTTTTCATTACTTTATTTTTATAAATTTTTATTTAAGTTTTTTCTTTTTTTTTATAATATATCCATGAGTTATGATGGTTTGTAAACCCCAACCATTTTACATATACCTTATCACCTTTTGATTTTAAGACCTTTTCTACCAGGTACGTATTTGGGAAACGAGTAGATTTAATTTCTTCGTTGTAGAATCCTCCCTTGATAGGATTACCCTCATAATCCTCCAAAATATATGTCACAGGATTTGTAATTTGAATCGATTTTATGCGAAAGATTTCAGTGCTATAGTTTGGTGTATAACCCTTTTCAAATACATTTTTATATTTACTTATTCGAACATAATCTCCAACACGATACTTTGGTTTAGGAAATGTTTTAATGTGATTGTAAACTGAATCTAGCAAAATTTGTTCATTGCTTTTGGTTACATCAATGGGTCGCATATTTATAGTTCCATGTTTAGTTCGATTGTATTCATGAATCAGCTTTCTGTAGATATCAATCCAATGATATGTACCATTATAAGAAAATTCTCGAAACATTTTATTTTTTAAGGTTCGGTTAAATCTTTCAACAATTGAGGCTTTCATAACACTATAAGTAGAATAGTGATTTATTGCATATATATCTGCTAACTTCTTAAAGTCTTTGTTAAAAAACTCTTTTCCATCATCCGTTTGTAAGTTGTTAGGCACTCTGCCAGCAATCAAAATTTTTTTAAATGCCGCGCAAACATCTTTCGCGCTTTTTGTTTTAATCGCTTCAGCCCAGGCATATTTTGAGAATGTATCAATAACAGTTAGCAAATATTTATATCCTTTATTAATGGTTGAATAATTACCCATTTCAACCAAATCTGCTTGCCATAAATCATCAATACCCTTTGTAATAACTCTTCGGCGAGGAAAACGTTTCCTCGCTTGAGAATGGAGTTCATTTACTATAGTCCTTCTTTCCATATTTATTTATTAAGAATTTTATTCAATATAATACTGTGTGGCATTGACATTGGCGATATAATGCTCTTATCATTTCCAAAATGTTTTATTTCTTTTTTTAGGTTATTTATTTCATTAAATAAATTTCTTATCTCTGATGATATTTCTCTTCTTAATATTTCTTGTGAATGTAGGATCTTCTTTTGTACAAAAGCTTTGTTGACTGCGTCGTTGTCTTCCGATGGCGGCGCCAAGTTTTTAATTTTTTTATTTTGGATATCGAGGTTGTAATGCTGGTCAATATCAATTCCAAAAACTTTTGAAGCATTTTTTCTCAAATTACTAGAGTTTGAGTAGTGTCCGAATTTATCGACGCTCATTGCATAATTGATACTTATTGTCCCCCGTCAGTATATTATATTGTCTTCTCTTAGCTCTTCAATTATTGATATTATTTCATTGTCCTGATTTGTATGACCAGCATTTTTGGAGGCTATTAATAATTTTAAACGTTCAACCAACTCATTTGGATCGTTCCAATATATATAATTTGGTTTCTGTAGATTAACGTTCATTAATCCTTCACCTGTGTGAGTTGATTGAAACAGGTTTTTTATAATCTTTGTATACTTCGGACCTTTATTACCTCTAATTTGTCCGGTTGATTCATAATTTCTCCGGTGTACACACGTATTCTCTAGAATTTTCTTATATATATCTAATTCAAATTTATCAAAGCCAGTAGGATTTTTGTGGAATAAAAGATTGTATAGACCGCTTGATAAGGCCCATGTTTGATTCCCAATTTTTATTTTGTCATCAACAAAGTACATTTTA